TCCCAGGGTTTATCATGTCACACCATCAGTAGCTGTAGCTCAAGCTCCGTCCTATAGAACGTAAGTGCAGGTCAAACAGATCAAAAAGATGCTGTTGTTGAGGATTTGTTGGTTTCGTAAAGCTGGGTTAGGAAAGAAAAAATAGAAATAGATAAAGGAAGATTTACGCTGCGCTCATGGGAAAAGCCAACAGAGGGCACGGAAAGCTACTGGGCACTGGAAATGTCTGTTAAAGTCCTCTGTAGGTGACAACAAGTACTACAACTAGGGCTGCCCTAAGGCTCAACAGATCACTGAAAGGCTTCACTGAAAAACACAATGTCAATGTTGTTTTTAAGGCTAATTCAATGCCTTTTCAAGCACCCTCAATGTCCCTTTCCAAGACTTTCAAAGTAAAAATGATTACTGATTGTTGTTTTCTATCGTAGAAGTTGCTAAAGTTCAGTTGGAGTCTAAAAACCTTTCTGTGTCTTCTTCAATAACTGCCAACTTTCATATTTCACCTTGTTTTCCAAAACACTGGGGCTGCTGTTAATTGCCAAACAAATACTGTTCACATTTGAAAGCCCATTTGAAGGATTGTGTTTAAAATCCAGGCCCATTAAATATTAACAGCTAAGCTGAAATGTTGTCTTTGGTGCTGGTATAAACCCTGGTTACACAGTGAAGTGCTGCAAAGAGACGCAGCGTGTTTCTGAAACACCTCAGGGTAAAAACCAAAAGAGGAGCCAAAGGCAGAGCAGGGAGTTCACACAAAGACAATGGTTATTGATGACTCACCATCAGAGAGAACTGGAAACAGAATCCAAATGACCAGAGCACAAAAAAAAAAACATTGGGATAAAAAACAAACAAACTAAAAGCTGCTGCTGCTGCTGAGGGAGAGAGGACATTAAATGCAGCACAAACAAGAGTGAAGCAGCAGCAGCAGCAGCAGCAGCAGCAGCAGCTCACAGGTGAAACTAATGAGAGGGCGAACGACAGAGGAGAGTTTCCTGTCCAAACAGGAAGACAACTAAAAAACAAACCCAATTTCCCACCAGTCACAAAGACAACTAAAAAACAAACCCAATTTCACACCAGTCACAAATTTATGTATATATATATATAAATATATATGACTATATATTCATATATAATATATGAACATAAAAATGATGACAGGAGTGTGTTGTTTTTTATGTCAGTATTTTCAAAGACCTTATTATTAAATATTATAAACTATTCAGTACCTTGAAATCACGGTGTTACATTTATGTGTGCATTCTTATTTTTCTCACTTTATATTTATCTTGATTCTTTGCTAACTTTTGAGTACTTCATATATGTTTAGCTAAATTACCCTTCGCTTTAATTACAACCCACTGGAGATTTTTGTGCTTTTGATTGGCTAATTTGGCTAACGTTTAGCAGTCTCTCTATATTTTGTACCAACCTTTGGTTCAATTTTTATACTTTTGTCTCCAATAGACAAGGAGGACAACAAAGCTATTTGGTATATTTCACTACATGTTACTCTGATGTTATATATATTATTATATTTATATTAGAAAATATTTTGGTTTTATTGATATGACTTTTAGCTCCTGGAGCTACAGTATAAACCATCAGTTCACTGCCAAGGATTTTAAACATGTTTGTCTTCAAAATATATCATAATATTTTTATTTTAAATAGTATTATATTATTTTTGTAATATCATTTCTACATAACCTTTAGCTTTTTAAGCTAGAAGTTGGCTTACCTCTAGCTACCCCTGAGCTAGTCTTCAGTGCTCCACCTGGTTGAATGCAGGGCGACTGTGTAATGTGATCAAGTGTTTTCCCACGGTGACGCCCCAGTCGTTTCCCACAGTAATTATGAAGCGATTGTCTGATCACAGTTATTTGTTCTGGTTCCATTCAGCCTGTACATAATGGCTGTAATTGTCTCTAATGAAGATGAAACCAGTGTCATGGAGCGTTAATGTCAAATGTCTGTCACTCAGTGTCAGTGACTCCTCAGGTCGGTTCCTCCTCTGCTGTGACTTAACAGCAGGGACATCTGAATTAATGGTTCCTAATCACGTCTCCAGGGAAACGACTGGGGTGTAAATAGGTGATGATACGAAGTACAATGCAGTACTGTGTCTGTGTGTCAGTCAGATGGAACGACTGCAGGTTTAACACAGTACTAAAAAGTACTTTGACAGTACCATTTCTCCTGTTAACTCTGTTTCCACCACCATTTTCAGCTCAGTTATTGAAAAGTACGTTTTACTCTAAACTCATCAAACATTTACCTTTTTTTATTGGATTGAATTTTATATCTAGGATTTTTAAAGAACTTCCCTTCATCTTTCGCTCTTTTACTAACTAACTATTTAATCCCTGTCTTTTCCTCATCTCTTTGGCTAATTTTGAGTTGAGACGGCTCCGTACAACTTTTCCATGTCCAATACCGATACCCATACTGCAACTTGGAGTATCTGCAAATATTAATCCGATCAATCTTCTTTTCTCTTCCGGCATGCCATTGCCAAGGCTTAACTCACGTAGAGTTAGGTTAAGACTTGCCAAGGCTTAACTCACGTAGAGTTAAGTTAAGACTTTGGGCTTAGGTATCGCATCAGACGGGAAATAGTTGTTTTATTTGATGTGCGATACTGAATTTAAGATGTGTCAGCAAACTCCAAGTTATTTTGGTGTATGTAGCTATTTTTTTGACAAACAACTATCTCTTTTCTTTATTTCGTTGCTAATGTGCAACTTTTATCAAACTAAATGTAGCCGTCTCTTGCATTAACCTTAGCGGTTTCAGCTAGGTTCTGCTGAGTGCCGTGGTGTACCCTGTGGTCTACTCCTGTCTGATTTGTATAACTCTTTTATACCTGTTCAACTACATCTTTAGCCTAATTTTATGTCAAAGGCTAACATGTTAGCTAACAGAAAAGCCATTTTCTTCCCTTTGTTTACGCAAAAAAAGTTTGTTCTCTTTCCTTCCCTTTGTTTACGCAAAAAAAGTTTCTCTTTTTTTCGTGCCGTCTGCTCCTGTTAATGCACAGGTTTGGACCGAACTCTTCAGGCTGCAGCTCACGTCACATTTGTCACAGAAGAAAACCCTCTGTTTGGAGTAAAGCGCCCTAATACATCACCGGAATTAATTGTGCTGAAATATTCGAATGCGGTCAGCGATGTGACTGCTGTTGTAATAGGCAATAACTCCACTGATGCGCCTTTTTCCAAACTTTATTGAGACCACTTTGGGACTTGTCATGTTTGATTGCTCACAAAACTTTTTAAGCGGCCCTTCCTCCTCCTCCTCCTCCGACTCTATTCTCCTCCTCCTTCTCATCTCAGGGCTGAAAGTCGTGTGTTCACATAAAGGCTCCTATCACCTCCCCAGACGCCCACGTCTGCAGCCGCCTCTCCATTCACTCTAATTTAGGATGAAACAGACGGCTCCGTACAACTTTTCCATGTCCAATACCGATACCCATACTGCAACTTGGAGTATCTGCAAATATTAATCCGATCAATCTTCTTTTCTCTTCCGGCATGCCATTGCCAAGGCTTAACTCACGTAGAGTTAGGTTAAGACTTTGGGCTTAGGTATCGGATCAGACGGGAAATAGTTGTTTTATTTGATGTGCGATACTGAATTTAAGATGTGTCAGCAAACTCCAAGTTATTTTGGTGTATGTAGCTATTTTTTTGACAAACAACTATCTCTTTTCTTTATTTCGTTGCTAATGTGCAACTTTTATCAAACTAAATGTAGCCGTCTCTTGCATTAACCTTAGCGGTTTCAGCTAGGTTCTGCTGAGTGCCGTGGTGTACCCTGTGGTCTACTCCTGTCTGATTTGTATAACTCTTTTATACCTGTTCAACTACATCTTTAGCCTAATTTTATGTCAAAGGCTAACATGTTAGCTAACAGAAAAGCCATTTTCTTCCCTTTGTTTACGCAAAAAAAGTTTGTTCTCTTTCTTTCGTGCCGTCTGCTCCTGTTAATGCACAGGTTTGGACCGAACTCTTCAGGCTGCAGCTCACGTCACATTTGTCACAGAAGAAAACCCTCTGTTTGGAGTAAAGCGCCCTAATACATCACCGGAATTAATTGTGCTGAAATATTCGAATGCGGTCAGCGATGTGACTGCTGTTGTAATAGGCAATAACTCCACTGATGCGCCTTTTTCCAAACTTTATTGAGACCACTTTGGGACTTGTCATGTTTGATTGCTCACAAAACTTTTTAAGCGGCCCTTCCTCCTCCTCCTCCCCTCCTCCTCCTCCTCCTCCGACTCTATTCTCCTCCTCCTTCTCATCTCAGGGCTGAAAGTCGTGTGTTCACATAAAGGCTCCTATCACCTCCCCAGACGCCCACGTCTGCAGCCGCCTCTCCATTCACTCTAATTTAGGATGAAACAACTTCTGTAATACGCTCCGCTCCTCTGGCTTTTTTTCTTTTTCTTTTTGTTATTATTATTCTCACGTCCTCACTGTTGAAGTGATTCTGGTGCTGCCGTGATCTGTGAGTCGCGCTTGACTGAAAAAAAAACAACCCAAAAAAACAAGCCTCAGCTTAACACTCAAATGTGAATTAAATTGAGAGAATCCATTTAAACTGAGCAGGTTGATGATAATTGTTGGTGAAGCGGAGAACAGAGACAGCTACAGGACGCACAACAGACGGCCGTGATTACAATTAACCACACAGTGATATAGTTAGCCTGCTTCACTCTCCGGCTACGGACCCTAATTATGGGCTGTCACAAAAAAAAAAAAAAAAACTTGGAACAAATTTCACGCAAAATTCTTAACATTTAAAGATATTCCAAGATTCAGCTAACACTCAAATCAAAGAGGTCAAATCTTCTTCTACTTTATGAAGCAGCATTGAGCAGCAACGTTCTACTGCGCAGGCACAGAGGCACTGTTAGTGGACAAAAGCAGGTGTTGGATTAACAGCAACACAACATCTTTCAGTAAAACATTTGACAAATGTTAACCAAATTTAAATAACAACATCTTTCAGTAAAACATTTGACACTTCAATCAAAATGTTAACCAAATTTAAATTTAAAAAAACATGTTAAACTCATAAAAAAATTCAATCTTTTATTTTTTTATCTTTGAATGAAGAAGAATATTTCAAAGGAAGCGGCCAGACGAGTCAGAGGAGCAGGTCGTGACCTGGTGTCAGACAGCTCCCAGATGGAGCACTGTTGAAACTTCACACCGTGTTTTGGCCTTTTACATTCTGCTGACTTCTCATTAATCAACTATTTAATTAGTTGTATACAAGACTGAGAGAGAGAGAGAGACAGAGAGAGAGAGAGGGAGAGAACGGTGAGTGGGTGAAAACAATGTGATTCATCAGATGGTGTTTTCATTATTGATCATTACAAAACTGCAGCAAAATAAATCAAACCACCAACTACGTGTGTCACATGGTCACGGACGGAACTGTGTGAAATGTAGCAAAGAGACAGAGCTACAATATGAAAGGGCTGCACTATAACACTGTCTCTCTCACACACACACTCACTTGTTGTGTAATCACTTCACATACACTCAGTAGCCATAACTATAACAAACACATGTCTAATCTTGTTCATCATCCCTAACTCTAATCTGACCCTAATTTTAATCCCAGCCTAATCCCTGAACCTCAGACTAACCCAGTATTTCTCATTTATTTTCTGTCATG